GTAAAATGTAAAATTTAAATTTTTAAGATTATTATATATTTATAATTATATATATTTTATATAAGTATATATAGTATATATTTTTTATAATTTTGTCTCCAGATGATTCATAAAGTGTAAAACTCTCTTCTCAGATATACTGCAGAATGAATCCATGACATGACAAAAATAGGCTAATTAATGTAGAAACTTAGGTCTTAACACTGGTTTAACATTATTTTAATTATATCATGGTGCAATGATGAAATAACGGAAGCCATTACACAGCGTTATGAAGAAAATCAAGGCTTTTTAGGGGTCGCTGTTGTAAGCGTGAATAAAACATGTGAGTAAAATGCCAGAGCTGAATCAGGTCCAGCATGGCTCAGCTTAAATATCCACGCATCAGTCTTTTTATAGCTTGCACACACAGCTGACCGACTGTGTACCACCCGCACACACCGCGCGGATCAGCCGCTGATCACGCAGCGACGCGCGCTTCTGATTGGCTGACGCTCCGCACACCTTTGTCGATGATTGGCTGGAGGCGAAAGCACGACCTCCACGGCCCGGCTCGGTTTTCTGAAATAAGTGAATGAATCGAAGTTCCAGAAACAGTGACAGTATTGATCATAATGAGACTTCAGTCAGTTCCGTCAGAGTAATAAACGAGAGGTGCAATGCAGCATCAGTATGACATCCATGTCTAAAAGTGTAAGTAAAACCATCTGCATTTATACATTTAAGACTGTATTTTAAGTTTATATGCTAGTGCTATTAATAAAAAAATTATATGTTTTTCATATTATTTTAATGTTTAATTTCCCGAAGTGCAGATATAATGCATTATTTTTCCTATTATATTTATTTAATATGTTTATAAACCGCTGATTTTGAATAATACTGGTCAAAACTATTAAACAAACATTACATAATTATGACCATAATGATACTGATACATAATTGATGTACAAAGGAATCAATTGATTGAAATGATGCATTTTTTTATTTTTATAAAACTACTTTTTTAAAGTCTTGAAAAAAAAAACTATTATTATTGCTATATTATAATTTACATATTATATACCTGCTACATACAAATATTATTATTACATTTGTTAGTGAAGTTATGCAAATTGGCAATTGTAGTTTGTAACATAATCCATTACATTACACATTTTAGGTAATGTAACCAGACTACTTTTTGATTACTTTCAGATTACTTTTGAGCTTACTTGTTTATTATATTGTTTTCAATAGGATAATCTTGTACCATATTCATATAAAAATAAAAGAGAAAGAAAAGATATTCCATATAGTTGTCGTTAACAACATGAAGAGCATTAAACATTACATTACTGTACATCAAGGTTTCCTAAACTGGGGTTTGTGAAGGAACTGCAGGGGCTTCGTGAGTTTAATGTAAAGCAAAGTATTAATTAAATCATAAAAATTTAAATTTTTTATTAAATGTATTTAATTTGCTTTTCTCACATCTAGCAGTCTGATTCAGACTGGAGATATTCAGAAGCTGTGGAGGCCCTGATGTCGATGAAGATCCAGCAGAGGGAGTTTTGGCCCTTGACTCCTTCCTCTGATGCCTGTGAAGATCCCGTCACTGCTGATTTCCACCAGTCCACCTCTGTGAGTGAGACGGGACACAAAGGTGAATCTCACAAACAGATCCAGGTCGTTTTTTTTTTTTTTTTTTTTTAAAATACATAT